TTAAAATATAAAAAAGGCAAAGATACTCGCATAGCGAAAAAATGGCATGCGACCAATAATCTTTTTGGTTTTTTGTTGTCTCGACTTTTGTTGTTTATTTTTTTTTTTTTGGACATTTTCACCCAAAATAAAGCAGATTTTTTCCTTTGATTATATTAAACAGTTGCAGTTTCACAATTTCAAGTAGTCTAGTCTATGTCGACCCGACGACATCGTTGTCGTCGTCGTCATCATCTTATCGTCATCTTGAACATAATTAAATAAAGCGTTAAAATTAAAAAAGGAAGTGCCGCACAGGAAGCCAGACGCAATTCGCACTTTAACTGCGTGCCTTTGCCTTAAGTTGAGGGGCGGCATTCCGATGAATTTGCTTTCACATTTTATTTTTTTTTTTTCGCGCACACGCAACTTTGGTCAGAGAGAAAGCAAAAACAAAAAAAGAAAAAATGTAGCAAACAGTATCAAAGCTAATTTTTGGCCTAACTTGAATGAGCGTTTGACTGGCTAAGCGTTGCCGGAAGTTTGGTTTGCTAGGCGTGAAAGTGGCAATATTTGTCGAAATTATCAGGGTGCCAAGGTTATCAACATATTTATTTTTGAGTAAAATAAAAATACATACGTATGTATGTAACACAGTCACTCAACAAAATATTCGCTTAAGTTTGTGAAAGCGCTTGATCGGTGATTCTTGATCGCTGACTGTATCTTTGAAGCTTTTTCATAACAAAACTATGCGTTTGTAATACCGATGCCCAAGCGCAGAGTTGGAGATACTCCTGGGTCTAGGTATAAGAATGTATACTAAAAATGCATTGCTGCTAAGAGTGCTTAGGTCGTCTAACACGCTTTTATTTTAAACAGTTTTCATAGAATGAAAATGCACGTGTTGGTATGAATTCATGAGAAAAAATTACAATAAAGCTATTAACAGTAAATATAGCTACTTATTTAGATAGCAGAGAAAAAAATAAGTAACAGGTTTTTTTAGATCAAAAGTAAAACAAATAAAAATCAGTGGAAAATTCACGTTTGATCTTATTTTAACATAAAATTTCTGAATTTTTTCGGATTTGAGTAATGCTCTTGCCGCCGTAGCCGAGAGCTTAGATGCAGCTATGAGGGGCTCATGATTCCATTTCTTCAATAAAAAAGCTTCTTCGGAGGTAGAGTAAAAGTTTAGATCTCTCCATATGTGTCACAACAGCAAGAAGCAGAACGCGAATTGGAGTAGAAGGTCGGCCAAATACGCAGAAAACGTTTAAGCGGCAAACATTCATTTATTGGAATCAAATATGATATACTGTTTATCCCCAAAAAACCTAGAATATAATTTTAAAACTATTTACGGGTTTACCTTAAACTTGAAAAAGCCTTGAAAACTTCGAAACACTCAAAACTATTTAGAGGTCAAGAAAATGCGGTTTATTCGCTATTCGAAAAATTAAAATTTCCAAAAAAAAACGCCTACATATATATTGGAAAAAAACGGTGGAAAACGGGTTGGAAAATGAGTGTCAGTGAAAATCATACAGTAAATTTTTGCAATTTTTTTTACTTTTGTTTTATTTAAATTTTATTAATCTTCAATGAAAATATAGTTCATACTACAAAAAAATCCACATAAAACAAAGTTTCCAACTTTTTCACAATACAAAAAATCGTAAAATTAAAAAAAAAAGTTCATAAATTTTATTCAGAACTCCTTGAACTTTTGTGAGTATGCAGTTTTAAACCTCATACAATTTAAGTGTAATAAGGTATAAGTTTGAATTAGCTACAAAATTCCGTTGATTTTTTGCTATTTCTTTTAATAAAATTGCCCGGATCACTAATGGCTACCGAAAAAGGTTATCTTCTCTTTGCCCTCTACGAACAAATACTAAGAAGAGGGCAATTACTAAGGAAACACCATAACCAGGCTTAAATCAAATGACCAACTCTTGAGACGCGCACAAAAAGAAGGTTCTCTGAGAAGGTTCTCGCGAACCTAGACGTAAAATGTCTTCAATCCTTAGCGAATTTAATCATTCCTTCTGTCGAGTCTCTGTCTATACTGTTAAAGTTTCCGAGGCCTTTAAGAAACCTTAGGCTCATATTTTGAAGAGCATGCGACACGAGAACTGTCGTTCGGTTTCTGCCCTTTTCCCAAATTTACAGCTCGTTGCATTCGTTGGTTTACTTAATGGCTCCACATTATCTTAACTTAATAAATGCTCGAGAGTATGTATTGATAACTTTTTTCTTCTATGTTGCTCTGCTTTTTGGTGCTTTTTGTGGCATTTACTACTTCATAGCATCATACTTTTTCTAAGATGTTATGCGCGAAGAATTATATTATATATATGTATATATTTGTGTGACCTTCATCGCATGCCTTCATTGTTGTCGTCTTTTCTATTTTAATTAAAACGTTAAAATCGCTAATTATTTTCTTCGCCGTGTGGTTGCTGTCGCTATCCAAATACAGTGGAGTTGGAGCGTGTTCATAATGTCACGCTCAAGTATTTGCATTATTAGATTTTTTAATTTCTTTGACAGCGTTTTTTCTCACTTTTTATGCCTTTTTGTGCGCATTTATTCAATGAAGACTACGGCCGTGGGTGTTGAATGTTTATCTTTATGGTTTTGAGCGCCGGTCGGTTGAAGTTTGTAGTAAACGAGTACCATTTCTTTGCCGTTATTAAACTTCCGTTTGTCTCTTCACTGTCATTTTTGATTTTTGGTGATGGACATTGACACTTGCAGAGTAGGGGATGGGTTTGACTTCTTGCCACTTTCACTAAATGTGACACACTTTTTTTTTGTTTTTTTTTTTTTTGTAGTCAATTGCAAAGAGATATTTGTCAGCTTTTCCTGGCGGGTGGTTAACATCAAAAGATTAAAACAGTTAGTGATTTTACTTTCTGCTTTACTAAAAAGTGTGGTTTATTGGGGCGTAAAAAAGGTTGCGCAGATTTATTTATTTTTTTTTTTATTTAAAGAAATTTCAAATATTTGCTTTTTTTATTTCATTTAATTGCCGAGAGTGTTTAACGTAGCACCTTGCAGAAGATTTGGATTTCTAAAAGCTCAGTTATTCTAACCTTACTTACGTAAGAAATCGTCAATGATTACTCAACACGTCAACCTAGCTGGAAGCGAAAATATTTGGTTTCGGGTTTTTCGTTTTCTGCTGATTGTAACTTTGCCGCCTATGAGGCACACAAAAAAATTTCTGAACAAAACATATTGCGTTGGCCATGTATTAGGTTACGTTACGTATGTATATTAAGTCCAGACTAACTGAGCCTTAAGCAAAATTGATATATAAACATAGGATTGTTTGTTTTTTCCATAAAAAAATTTATTGTACAATGTCACCGTAAATTTACTTCATTGCCTAAATTTCGCATTCAATCTTTAATCTACAAAAATCGGTATTTAATACCGGGTATATAAAACAGCTTTTATTTCCATTGTTCACTTAAACGCTCAGTATTGTGTTCTTTATGATCTCAGCGCACTCGCGTGTTTGCTCTTCTGTAATAATGAGTGGAGGGGCGAAGCGTATGATGTCGCCATGTGTGGGTTTGGCGAGCAGACCGTTATCACGCAATCTCAGGCATATGTCCCATGCTTCGAATTCTGTAGTGAGGCAAAAAATAAATATAATAGATACTTGATATAATTTTCACAAAAATTGAATTACAGTGAAATCTCGGTATAAAGAATTTAAAAGGCAACAAAACATCAGTTGAACAACAAATAAAACATGCAAAGAAAATTCAAATTACTTTCGAGGCTTCATTAAATACTTTGCAAATAGTACTTTTGCCATTTAGTACTTATTGAACACTTTTGAAAAAATGGCTTTCATGCTCAAAATGAGTGCGCTAGATCAGTTAGGGTATAAAGACCTTCGAGGTCAAACATTGTCTTCCAAAGGCTATGCAAAAATTTGGCCAAACTAATTTTTTACTTATATTGAGGTACCTGATATCGAGTATCCACTGTCCTTCATTACTCACTTTTATTAATCACAATAGCATTGAGCAGACCTTTGCCGCGCACAATGCTTACAATATCCTTAGGTAGAGTATTTAGTTCACTGCGTAGTAAATTCCCCATTTTCTCAGCATTCTCCGCCAAACGTTCTTCCAGCAACACTTCCAGCGCAGTAATTGCCACCTTACAACCCAATGGATTGCCACCATAAGTAGAACCATGACGACCAGGTTGTATGCATTCCATAACTGGGTCATCCGCTAGCACAGCCGAAACGGGATACAGGCCACCTGATAGCGCTTTACCCAATATGAGTATGTCAGGCTTAACTTCTTCATAATCAACGGCTAGCATGCGTCCGGTGCGCGCCAGTCCCGTCTGGACTTCATCGGCCACCCAGAGAACATTATATTTCGTGCACAATTCACGAACTTTGCGTAGGTAACCAGCATCAGGTACGACAACGCCAGCTTCACCTTGTATAGGTTCGACCATGAAGGCGCAGACATTGGGATCTTGTAGCGCTTTCTGCAAGTGTAAAATGAAGAGTAAGGAATGTGATTTTTCAGCAACCATAAACTCAAGAATTAAGCTTACCTCCAACGCATCTGTATTATTGTATTTGATGATCTCGAAACCAGGCATGTACGGTCCAAAGTTTTCATAGCTCAATGGATCGGTCGACGCGGAAATGGCGGACAACGTGCGACCCCAGAAGTTATTCTCAGCGAAAAGTATCTAAAATTACATAAAGTAAGTAAGAGTTTGGTGGCTCTTGGCATTCTCAGAGTATATATATATTATTATTTTTTGAACAAACCTTTGCTTGATTTTCTGGCACCTTTTTCTTCATGTACGCCCAAGCACGTGCGATTTTACAAGCGGTTTCACCACCCTCAACACCGGTATTCATTGGCAAAACTTTGTCATAGTTGAAAAGTTTTGTGATGAACTCCTCATATTCGCCTAGGACATCTGAGTAGAAGGCTCTGAAAAAGAGAAAAGTGGAGGTAGTGCGCAAAACTTCAGTTATCGCTGAACTGAGAAATGAAGATAGAGTGCTGATATTTTGACACAAGGTTTTTTTTTTGTTTGTGACTGACATCGAGTGGGACCGCAGGATCTTTTATTTGACACAGTTTAGGGCTCGTAGTAAATTTGTCATGCTGAATCCGAATATGCCATAAAATTTAAAGTTTCACGGTTCTCAGCTGTCAAATCAACTGTCAATGTTTTCTAATATAGAAATATCTTTTTAAAAATGACACTGATTAGGGTTTTAGACACGCCAGTTACGAAATTTTATCAAATTAAAGCTTTGACAGTCGACAGTTGTCAAATGGGCTGCCATTTTTTTTAATAAGAAAATATTTTTTAAAATGTCACTTATTAGATTTTTTATGGCGCTAGTACACGCGCCTTTTTCCTCTCCTTTTTGGAATGAAATTGAGGTCTTACTTATTTTTCATTAACAATAGAGAACAACTAGTGTTGTCATCGAAAATGCATCTGATCCAAATTATTTTTGAGAATCAGTAGTATGACCTAAACCTTTGTCGATCGATCCATGTCAAAATTAGTGGAGCTTACATGAGCTCTTAACTGCAGTTAATCTGGTGGAAATGGGGCAAACAACTGGATTAAATGCTGATAATTCCAAATTAACGAGTTGATACGGATAAACACTGCACAGTGCTTCAAAACTGGATTTTGATGTTCATAATTCACTGGAGCCTTCGTTTTTCAACCAATCTGATTTATATTTTTTTAATGAAAGCTTGCAAAATCAGCAGGAGACCAGTTGAGCCCGATTTATGAACTTTTTTTCTAGTGAAAAGTGCGGTAAAAGTAGCAATTTTGAAGAAAATCGATACTCGTGTTCCGGTCAATAAACGTTACATAGTAAAAAGTAGTTTAAAACAATCTTAGGGCTCCGATAAAACGAATAAAAATCACAAGAAAAATTTGAAATGTTATAAAAGAAATTTCATGAAAATAAAATTATTTTTTAAAGGTTTTAGGAATATTTTCGGTATGCAGTTTTATATATCGCTAAATTTTAGTACAATAAAGTGCAAGCTGTAAGTCACTAAGAGTTCGCGTTGATTTTTAATAATTTTTCACTTTTCGAGCACATCTGCATGTTTTGTGGTTTATATTTGTAATATATATACATACATATTATTAAAAATTAGCGCGAACTCTAAACTTGCACTTTATTGTCCTAAAATTTTATTTTATCTATGAAACTGCATAACCAAAACTTTGTTTATGAACTAAAAAGAATTTTAATTTTGGAATTTTTTTTACACATTTAAATTTTTTTTGTTTTGGGGGAACCCTAAAATTGTTTTACATTAGTTTTTATTACGTAACATTTATTTACTGGAACAGGAGAATCGATTTTCTTCAAAAATGCTACATATTCTACAACTTGCGCTAAAGAATTAAATACAAGGAAATGAAAAAAAAGATCGGGATCAACTGGTCCCTTGAAAATTTTATAAGCTTTTATAAAAATAAAATTATCAATTTGAGTGACTCTAGTGAACTATGAAGAGTGAATGCCAGTTTTGAACCACTGTGCGCTGCAGTCTGTCTATGCTTTTGGAGATTAGTTGCACAACTTATTGCAGGGCATTTATTAATATGTTATTTAGAATGTACTTATGCATGTACTCATAAGTATGTAAGTATGTACATGGAAGAGCTAAATACATATAGGCAGACGTATACGATTTAAAACATTTGATTACGCTTATGACAAGTGCACTTGAATACCGAGCTTATCAGCTAACCAAACGTTAATTTTAAGTTCTAAAACAGCGACTAGATGATGTAATTTAAGAAATTACACGTATATGCACTTAAACATACATACATATGTATCTTTTATATTTTTATTTTTTATATTAAATTTTTATTTAAGGTTACCTATAATTACGGAGACCATCCGTTGTTTTTTGCAGGACCGTACTGTTTTTCAAAGGTCGGTCCTGCGTAGTTTTTCAGATCTGAAAAACCTGAAAATGTACTGATTTTTCCCAAGTGTCCTGCATTTGTCCCGCATTTTATTCGTTATTTTAAAATTATCGGACAATGGATGGATTTTTTCAAAAAAATGATTTTTGGTACTTTTCGTAGCTTTTATTCAATATCTCATGAAAAAATCTCCCAATCAAGTATATTCATAAAAAAAAAATAAATATTCATGTAAAAAAAGATTAATTTCGATGAAGAAAACGTGATTAATAAGAAATTAGAAGTATTAAGAAATTAGAATCATAAATACTCTTTTGATATTTTTATGCTACGTAAATATATGTAGGCATATTTTTGAAAAATTGTCCTTCATTTTGAATACATATTTATGGTCACCGTACCTATAATGCTTTTGTAACAAAAACTATTTAATACTGATCAAAAATGAAAATAAAACAGTTCGTTATTTCACTTATTTAGATTATATTTTAATGCTTGAACACATTTTTAATCTTTTGAATTGAAGCGTGCCTATATTCAGTTTAATAACGCGACGATTTTGATTTGGTTATCATATCACTACAATTTTGATAATTTGGTTGCTATGTATTCTAAAGGCTAAATGTGCCGAAAACTTTTTGTTCGGATCAAATTGATTTTTATTTTCTGTCCCATGAACGAACGAATAAAGATCACCCAGCACGGCGGGCGAGAAAAAAGTTATTTTTTTGCAGTGACGTCATTTTTTCGACGCCATGTGAATAAAACGGAACGAAACCTGTGTGTGAATGAAAGAACCGATTAAAACATGACGTCATCAACCATTATTTTTTTTCTCAAATGCAATTACAAATACACGGTTGCCGTGCTGGGAGATCTTGTTAGTTGGTTCATGTTTCTGTCCGAACCACTTGATGATGCGGGTTGTCGCGTTCTCCTTTGTATGCGTTTGCAGCGAATTGCATGTGTTATTTGCCCTCAAAATCGTATGTAGGCAACAATATCATCAGCTGTTTGCTTCAGAACAAAATCAAATGTGCCGAACTGAACGGTGAACCGTACTTCAGCACCATCTCCGGCGAAAATGTTTCGAGAGCAAAAAAAAAAGTTGTCCGGACACGAATGGTGAACCCGCCTTAATCTTAATTGATATTTACATATCGTCGTTTAGAGTACAAAACCGCGTATCGCCATTCTGCAAAATCGCGTAACTGACATTGGCTGGCAAAAATTGGATTTGCTCACACAAGCTCTTGGCTCAATTCTTACCCATTCGTCCTGAAATATACTATCCAGAAATGCGATTGCTTTATAAAAAAGAGAACCATTTTGAAATATGAGTGTTTGTACGCTCGAGAAAATAATTTCTACAACTTCACATACGCGTTTTTGCATTTTGCTGATACGCGGTTTTGCATTTTGTTTTTTTTTTTTTGTTTTGCACTTTAAACGACGATATGTATTTTTAAATGTTTGTTTGTTTATGAATCGCAATATTATCTTTAGTTGTAAAATAACATCAAACCGATTCCCTTTAACGAAATATATGCGTATTTTTAAAACTTCGCGTGAAAACCGCCACTAATGTTTTCTAAGCGCAAGTGCAACTCTGCACAACAATCAACAGTTTCCGCCGCCATTTGAACAGCTGCGCGTCGGTTTACTTTGCGTGAGTTAGAATTGGTGAAATATGTGAAATTCGTACAAAATATGGCTCAAAATGCAGTGATTAGTATAAAATGTTATAGAAGTGAATGTTTGGTAGTTAAAATGAGCAAAATAAGTGCAAAGGTGTTTAGTTTAAAAGCAAATATCTCAAATGTTTTAGTGGAGTGAGTGGGCGGCGCAGCCAGCGTAAGGAAAATATAAAGAAAGTCAATGAATTGCAGGAAATGGAATGCATAAGTGCAGTAAGATTACCAATTTGATAACATAGTTACGCGAGGTAAGCGATTTTTAGCAGAATATGTTGTTAGTTTGATTAATGTTTTTATTGGGCAAGAATTATTGCATAAAAACGCTGCGTTAGCTGCAACAGGTGGCCGGCAGCGCTGCTTTGCGCATTACAAAACGGATACACACATTTTTTGCATCGTTTTGATGCTCGTCGCTTCAGTTTACACATATGTGTGCATACATACAGTCACTGCCAGAAGTATTCGTAATGAAAATGTTTTCCATCATAAATTATTTTTTCAATATTTTAAATATTTTTATTTTTATTTTGACAAAGTAAACCTATTTAATTATAAGATATAAGGAGTGTTCGCTATGCAACTGCCAGTAAGAATTAGCCAGTAACAAGATTCAGAGAATAAGGTACCTTACTCTCCCAAAGAGAGAAACTTACTACCCTACTACTAGTTTTGAACTAGAATTCTACCGGTTTGCGTTTCAGCCGAACTAGTTCACGTTCTATCCTTTTTCAATGTTAGCGACTGGTATTTTTAACATTGCGATGGCCTACGAGATGTCAATTGTCAGGCTATGCATCAGCATCTACTAGTATAAATACTAGTAGCACCATACCAGTTGATGAAATAGTCTGCCAATTCATGCCCCGTGAAAAGCATAAGTGTGCCTTTTTGCTCGCGACGCTCCAGCAGTCACAATGGCCGACAGAGAAGAGCACTCGCGTGGTAAGCCTGAGGTCCCAGGTTCAAATCCTGGCGCAGGTAAAATTTTTTTATTTTCTATTTTGTATTTTATTTTTTTTTTATAAATTTATTTTTTTGTTTATGCTGTTTATTGTAATTTTTTAATTTAATAAAAAAATATTTTTGTTTAATTTCTTTGTTTTTATATTTCTTCCTAAATGTTTTTTTTGCAACGCAATTAGATTTTCAAATTTGTTATTTATTTATAAATTGAATAAATTATTTTTACTTACATTTATTTAACTTTAAAAATCTTAACCACCTCCAAGCGGCCTCGAACCTGCGATTTCAGAATCAGAACCAGTAGTCTTCACGTGACGCCACAGCCGACATTTGTAAGAAAAGCAATTATGTAATTGCGTTTTATTTTTGGCTTTGGCAATTCAAAGGCAGATGTCGTTAATCGCCTAAGTTCTTCGAAATTGTCGAACTGGTAGGCACATACTAGTTAATGAAATAGTATTTTTTCTAACTGGTTTGGCTTTTCACTGCAGGGTTAGTTTTGCGCGAACAGAAATTAGCAAGCATTTGCAAGCTTCACTGCCAGCTGGCGTCCACGGTTGCATTTCGAGCATAATAAATTTTTTAAATTATTTTAGGTGGAAGCCAAAACAGGACCTATACGTATATTTCTTCTTGTTCTGACATTCTTCAACATACGTTCCAATTTCATTGTGGAAGTCACTGTCGGATTTCCTATATCGACAGTGGTGTCGAGTGCGTACCGATTACGAATACAGCTTTTTCAGCCGAGTACCTTTCAAATGTTTGGAATAATTAAATTAATTGAATAAACGAATATTTACATACTTCTTTCATTAGTAAATCGCAACAAGATTGTTCATTTTCAAATTTAACGAACTCGTTGATTCAAATTAATGTTGACAAAATGCAACCGTGTGCCACACGAAAAATAATCTTCAACGACAAAATTCCGCTCATGAAATTCACCACATCGAACTTTCTGAAGGAATGTTTTGGTTAGCGTGTATAACAAAACCGCTTTAACTGGAGAGACGCTGATACATTTTAATAACTGTTTTACAAAAATCACCATTTTTTAGTTTTTCATATTAAAATTTTTTTTTAACTGTTCGAGCTCTTAAGGTTTAAATAGTTTAAAAATTCGACATTCTCATTCAACATATTGTGCGGTACCCGTAAATTTAGGAACACACATTTAAAAAACAAACAGATTTCTGTTACAAAGGCGGAACTTTTTAAATATTTTAAACAAATTAAACTACCACCTGTCAAACTTTTATTTATACTGTAACGAACGATAGACACTAATAAGATAAGTAAGTGTTTATAGCTACTCACCTGGATGTCAACGTGAGTTTTTTCGCCTGCTCTGTTAGAGTATGCACAATTTTTGGATGACAATGACCCTGATTGACGGCTGAGTAGGCACTTAGAAAGTCGTAATAACGTTTACCCTCAACATCCCAAACGTAAGCACCCTCGCCGCGTGTCAATGCCACCGGCAGGGGATGATAATTGTGCGCACCGTATTTATTTTCACGGTCAAAAACTTGTTGTGATGTCACTTTTTGTGCCATCTGCTGGAGCTTATGCTGTTGGCTGCTCATGCAGCGCACTGCCGCCAGTTTGGTTGATAATTTTGAGAACATATTGAGTGAGTGGAAGAAATGTCTCTGAAACTAATAAATGTTAATTTTGTAGTATAACCAATTAAAAATCCAACAAATCCCAAAAAAGATATCATTAACATATTCAATTTTGTAAATAAATATCAAAAATCGTGCTAATCACTCACCTACTGCCCTTAGATGTTCTAAGATTGCGTTAAAATTTTTTTTTATATACAACTTAGGAAAATCGATGTATGTATGTATCTACGTATAAAATCACTTTATATTTTGCTAGCTTCCACTGTTTATGTAGTTTCTCCGCTACTAGCACTTAACGCAAACACTTCTCCCATATAACTGAAATTGATCGGTGCTCACGCCCGCGACGAACGCTCGAAGCAATTGTTTAGCTGCGCTAGTCTTTTGCTATCGCTCGAAGTTTTACGACTGCCTCTGACATTTATATAGATACTTATTCACGTTTTTCGATAATTCCTAGGGGCACTGATAACTCATAGAGAATTTCTTCCCAGTTTTCATTTTGTGCTCACACTGCCAAGCCTCTTTTTCATTCCCCCCTACGGCCCACTCTTACATTTATTTAATTTTTTTGCTTCTGGTTAAGAATAAGCTTTCTTATCTCTGATGAGAAGAGAGAAACTTATTTTGAATATTCCTACTAAATATAGATTTCTAAAGTCTAGTTCGCAGCGGATCTAAATTGTGAGTCGTTGGTGGTGTTTGCTGCTGTAAATATCGTTATCAATTGAACAAGTTGAAGACAAAACTTTCCATTGAGCGAACTGAAGTGTTCAGCATGCATACACAAACATACAGGATTATATAGATAATACTTATGTACCCAGTAAACAGTTTCGATCGTGGAAGTTTCCTTCGTTGGCATTTATTCCAATAATTCCGATCAGAAGGTAGTATTTTATCTGATCGTGGAATAACTGTTTGTAAGCACTCTCGGTCTGTTTCAGGCGATTCATAGAAATAAATCTTCGAGACCTTTCTGGAAAAGTCAAGGATAACTCATTACGAAACATCTTCAGCGACTCTATTACAATATTCATACGCGAGTCGTTACAAAATATCATTTTGCCATTCTAACAGAACATTCATATTTCTTTTTTAAAGATAAAATCTTAATGAAGTAGATAATTATATATAGTCTGCATCAAAAATATGAATACCCTGACATTTTGACGATTTTCTTTATTACTATTTCCCATATATATATATATAGTTCATTCAACAGAAAAGCCCAGCAGAATCAGTTTTTTCATTTTCATATAGAACTCGGGAACACTCAATTGAGTATGCAATTTTGTAGTCCATTAAGTTTTAGTATAATAAGGTGCAAGTTTAAACTCTGTAAAAATTACGGTTGATTTTTGAGAATTTTTTTTCAAGGGTGTTTCGCATTTTCTTCCATAAAACGAAAGAACAAAATCTATTTTTACATGGAAGAAAATGCGCAATACCCTCGACAAAAAACACTTGCACCTTGTTATACTAAAATTTAAAAGAAATGGAATTGAAATGTTGCAAATTTTGAAGATTTTTTTTTGTTATTTCTTGAATTTTCCGGATTTCTATATGAAATTCAAAAAATTTATTCTCCCTGTGTTTTTGTGTTTGCATGAACTAAATTTTTATAAAAAATAGGAAAAATTTGGTATGCAAAATATAAATAAACAAACGTCAGGGTATTCATATTTTTGACGCTGACTGTATGCACGAAAGGGTTCTCGATATCATAATGAAAAAACATTGTGTTCCGTTGCTAATTTCAAAGGCTTGAAACAAAAATCGATTAACAGTTTCCTTGAAGATATATGGAGTTATTTCTTTGACGATCTAAGGAACTCAAAATTTGTGTTAATTCTGTTTTTTGATATGTAGATTTCCGACAATAGTTTTCTAACATCGAAATAACACAATTTAATAATTTTTTCTTTTGTTGAAGGAATTGAGGCAATGAGCTTAATTATAATAATAAGCTTATTAATTAATTCTTCCTGTGTTTGCTGTTGCATGAACTCAATTTTTATAAGAAATAGGAAAAATTTGGTATGCAAAATATAAATAAAGAAACGTCAGGGTGTTCATATTTTTGACGCTGACTGTATGTACGAAAAGGTTCTCGATATCATAATGGAAAAACATTGTGTTCCGTTGCTAATTTCAAAGACTTGAAACAAAAATCGATTAACAGTTTCCTTGAAGTTATATGGAGTTATTTCTTTGACGATCTAAGGAACTCAAAACTTGTGTTAATTCTGTTTTTTGATATGTAGATTTCAGACAATAGTTTTCTAACATCGAAATCACACAATTTAATAATTTTTTTTTTTTGTTGAAGGAATTGAGGCAATGAGCTTTGAATACCCTTTCAAAAGAATAGTAAGTCATCGCTTTGAGAAATGGTCTTCCAATTATATCGTCAACCAAAAATAAAAAAAATGAATTAAATTCGAATGCTCTTACGAAGAATGACATGGTATAGATAGGGTGATTCAATAATAACACAACAAATTAAATTTTTTTTTTTTCATAATGTTTTCTAGGCTATGACATTTATGTATGAAACAAAATATCCGTTAAATGCCCACCACGACTCCTCTGCCTATACCTACAGAATGCGCATATCATGATTTTCCATGACTTTTTACCTTAGTTCCGGCTGTATATCATTTACTGGGGCTGCTTTCGTCACTCGCGCACACTGCCGTGCGCTGTGATAACGCGTGCGATTTTGTTCTTCAGCTCTGGAATCGTCTGGGGTTTATTAGCATAGACCCTTCTTTCACGTAGCCACAGATAGAGGAGTCCAGTGGTGCCAAATTGAAAGATCTCAGCGGCAATTTGAACTCGTTAATTTGTGTAATAATGTGTTCTGGGAACTTCGTTCGCAATGGGCCCATTGTTTCATGCGCGGTGTGGAAAGGGCAACCACATATTATCCATATAAATAGTTTGTTATCATGTTGTTGATGGTTCACATTAAAAGCGCTACCGACATCAACTTCTAGGAAACACGGTCCGATGACTCCGCTAGCCCATAAAACATACCAAACAAAGACTCGTTTTTGGGGGTGCATAGATTTACAGACTTCCAAACGCGACAGTTTTGCTTTTTAACGTTTAAGTGAAAATATACAGCGCCGCAAATAGACCCTTCGCTTCAGTTCCTGTGTCAATTGAATTTTGTAGGCGTGTAAATTATACAAACCAGCATTCATTACATGGAATAAATAACAGATACTGTTTTGGGATTTATTATTTATTTTTATTAAGTTAGTTTTCTTTATTAATTTATTTAGCACTATTTTTTCTCGACAGTATTGTTTAGGTAATTACATATTCTCATTAGATACATTTATTGCTTAAAACTAAATACATCTTTTCGTATTAATCTGTTATACACACATAATTAACAACTATAGCACACATTATTTTTTAAATAGAATTAGTTATAAACATTAAATTAATACATATTTACTAAACAAACAATACATCGTGATGTGAAAACTAAACCTTTACTGTTGTAAAGATTTTAATAAAAATACGGCTAATTTTTACATGTCAACATATTGCATCAGATTGTACTTATTAAATATAAAATTAATTTAAATGCAATGCAAGGAATTTATTTCGAAAAAAATAAACATGTAAATCATATATTTTTTTTTATTTTAAACTTATTCGGCATACAGGCAGATTTCACACATTTTCACTAAAATTCAGCTGCTTATACATATACATATGTATTTATTTGATCCGTTGTGTATTTCCGTTTATGTACCTTTAAGTTTGTGTACATATATGCAAGTTAGGGATGACCTTCTTTTTTGAAATTTAACGAAATATATTGTGTAGAATAATTCCAGAATTTTCATACAAGTACTCGTAAATTGGTTTTTTAGAAATATACTAGTTGAAAAAAGTGCTCCTGAAAGACTTACTGGAAGAAACAGGCATTTAAAGTAGGGAAAAGTTATGTAAGTACATACCTAAAATTCACAATTTCTTAGATAAAAAACCCAGAGTCCCTCTGTTATATAGGGTTATACAAGGTTAATGCAGATCTTTGACAACAATTCTTTGTTTATTTTAAATATATTTTATCAGGCAATTGGTGCTACAGGCTTTGGCAAGCTTAGTCATGGAGCGATACTCACTTGAACATAGCGTAAAGTGATTAAAAGGATGCAGACGGTCTAAAGAGAACCCAAAACGGAGAAAAACTGCATCCACTGCAAAAAAAAAACTATTTACCCACAACGAGACACTATTTGTTATGGTTTTTGGACTGAGAGAATCATCGAACCGTACTTCTACGAAAATGATGCCAGTAACGCTGTTACGGTGAACGCTCGTTATTATGATATGATAAAATACTTTGTGTCGCCTATGTATATGGTTTCAACAAAACGATGGCACTTGCCGCACAGCGCATGACACCATAGCCCTACTGCGAACATCTGCGTTCTTATTGAATCACCCTATATAAACACATTTTTGGTAGACCTTTCTCTTTGATTTACGCCATAGCATGGTGCGTTGAGGGAGACTCAGACCCTTCAGAAATCCAGAGTTCCTCTGGGTATACCATAATCAATCGTTTTCGATTAGAATTACAAAGTTATAATGTAAACATTATGGGACTGGTGCAGCATCCCTCACTATACACTTGCCTATTGCCAGCAACTTTTACACAGATGGAACTAGAGTTCAGCGCATTGGATAACGCATCCATGAGAGTTGAGGTCGACGTGCCTTGAACATTGAACATACCTGACTCAAAACTACGGTAAAAATAAATCTTTGGATAGCTCACTCATGGGATCGACATATCGAATGCTAACCACCAAAAAAACGTAAGCTGCATCTTTTTTAAAATTTTCTTTATAATGCAGAAGAGAAAATTTTGAAAAAAAGTCACTTGGTTTTTTTTTTAGCGGCTGGCGCTCGAAATATTTATTGCCCCATTTGATAAAATAGTTGTTTCGACCACAGTTACCTCGGACAGAATTGCGGGTTTCGGGCAGATCCGCTTACAAAGGTTGAAAGGACTATCCTGCGAGGCTTGGTTAAGTTTGGAGGCTTGAGGCTTATCTACCCCGCTACCCCGGTACTTATTTCGACGTCATACCGTTTGGTTCGTAGGTCGTTTTTTTCCAGCCGTGCGAAGCTTATTTGGATTTTCAGACCCTCTTTAGCCATTTCATCAGCTGGTTCGTTCCCCTCAATGTTAACATGCCCGAAAAACCCAACGGAACACCCTTCGGAAAAGATTTCTGCATTATAGAATCAGAAGCTGACAGGCAATCGATTAAAGCGCCTGATCTGCAGGCTCCTCGAATAAATACCATTGCGTTTAATTCTTCCATTTTCGAGCCGTCGGTAAAATCCTCTTTTCAGTCGATTGGCAAGCAACAACATTTCCTTGTTAGAAACGAGATAAGAATCCTGAAATGGAAGTTTCAGAACGGCCGCACATCACTGCACGCCGGAGTGGTTTGCTTATCGAATTTTAGGCCGCTTCTGTGACTGCGCCAGCTATAAAAATTCATACCAGCTGTAAGTGGGGAAAAGGGTCTTTATAATGAAATGCCGTGCTCGAATGGCAAAGAGGCTATTTCTAGTCTTTTTAAAACATTTCTGGGTATCTGTTATCGAAAGTATATTTCTTTAGAAAATTTAATACATCAAAAAGATAACATAATGTACAAAGTAGTTAACAGACTTTTAAGAAAAATACACAAGTAATAAATAGCATTGCAAAAATTCACGCACATAAGAACCTCCCTAATGCTTAGCTTTGTAGATACTTCGGTTCACACAATTAGCACTAAGTCTACATTTTATTTTTATTTAAAATACTATATGGTACACATAAGCATATTTTTGCTAAGTCAGATAACATGTTAAATTCTTAAACGGCTTACGATAAATTTATTTGTGTAGCGCTTTCTATGTATGTTTCTATGTGTGTTCGTTTGAATGTGTTTATGATGTGAGTGTTTAATAAATTCTTAAAGATTCACCAATTGTTGTGGAGATGGTGATTTTTGAGCGTCCTGTTGCTGTTGGTGCTGCTGCTGCTGTTGTATCAGGTTTTGTTGCTGCTGTTGCAAGTCTTTACTTAGCCGATAGCTGCTCATCACATTCGCACAACTCTGATGGAAATACAAGTTGCGTCCGCGAAAGAAAGATTCCGTGGCAAAATCCTTTATACCTGTCTTAAAGAGAAGAACAAAAATGGAAGGCGATTGAAATATTTTCATATGTATATTTGTAGGTATGTACATAAATACAAATCGAGGGACATAATATAGTAAAAAACATTTAAAGGCAAGAAATTTTGTAAGAAAATTGAGTGCAATTAGAATTTAGAGTGTTGGACTTAGAAGGATAGCGAGCTTGTAAGAGGTTAGTGCAGTTTTTTTTTAATTTTTTGTTTGTATTTCTTGTTTGTTTTATGTTTCAAGACGGAAAACAGAAACTCAAATTACTCGTACCTTACAAATGAAACATTTGTTTTCATCGTCCGGTTTATTATCCGAACTAAATCCCACCTTTGTGTCCAATTGCGTAAGTCCCGGTCCCATTATGTTTGCATTACCACCACCACCTCCAGCACCTACGCCGCTCACATTGCTGTGGCCATTATCCAGTTCCGTCTGTTGTTGTTGTTGTTGCTGTTGCTTTGAGCGCATCTCCTCAAAGGTGCTGTATTTGGAATTGTTGTTATTATTATTATTGTTCGCCATTTCCATATTTGGCTCGGTACTTGTCACTTGTGGTTCGGAGCGTGGTCTCTCCTGCTCCAGCATTGGCGTGTGGTCATCTGATGTTCTAAAAGACACAAAGAAAACATGTTTACATACTATGTACAGTAGGGTGGTCCAAGAATTCATGTAAAATAGTAAAGTCGACATTTTTATGCTCTCCCCCCTTAGGTCTGTTCTATATCGAAAAAAGTTTACCCCTATTTTTTTATTTTGAAACAAAATATTTAGAGGTCGCTCAAAGCGCTCAAAGTTTTCCATGTATTTTGTATGGGGAAAAAAGAACTTTTCGTGGAAATGGTATGGAATTCTTGAAAATCAATATTTTTCGATCGGATTCCCAATAATAACACCCAATTATTTTTTTTAACAATTTTTTCTTAGTAACTATATTTTATAGGACCGCCGTTGTTTTTTTCTCTCTAAATATCTTTGATTTCAAAATAAAAAAATAGGGGTATACTTTTTTCGATGTAGAACAATCCTAGGGGGTGAGAGCATAAAAACTCCGACTTTACTTATTTTGGACCACCCTAATGTACAGCCATGTCTCTTTCAAGTAAATATTGAACATCAGTTCGTGTACTTTAGAAACGGGATATAGATTGCTAGATTTTTTTTGTTGTAATTCAAAGTTGGACATGAATTTTCGGTCACTTAAAATCTGGACATAATTTTTTGATAATTAAAAACTTGGCCATAACTTTTTGGTAATTAAAAAACTGGTCATAAATTTTCTACTAATTTCAAAATTAGAATTTGAACTGATCCAATTAAAAGCAAAACTGGACATAAATTTTTGGTAACTGAGAAAATGTAAACAATTTTTTGTTAATTAAAAAATGAACATTAATTATTGGTTAAATAAAAAACTGGACATATAGATATGTATGTTTTGTCATTTAAAACTGGACAGGAATTGTTGCCCACATTTTTGGCATTCAATAAAACACACACCATTTTCGACAGTTAAAAAACTCTTAAACACATTTTGGGCCGATAACAAACGAACATAGATTGTTTGTCATTTAAAAATTGGGCATAAAAGGATGGTAAAAGAAAGGTGGGCGTAAATTTTTGCTATTTTAAAATTCAGACAATTTTTTTTTGGGGCGATACAAAATTAAAACCTAAATTGTTGCCAATAAAAATTTAAAATAATTTATTTTTCATTTAAAAACTAAATAAAAAATGAACATAGATTTTTGATCATTGGATAACTGGACATACATTTTGGTTAAAGTCCGGTCATATAAAATGAATTTTGGCAAGTGTCTTTAACCTTTGAAAGGAGGAAAAAAATGTTTTGAAAAAAGTGTATTTATTTTAAATGACTCTAATATTTTGTGTAGCTTTTAAATAACCGTCTATGTCCATTTTTTTATTACTGTAGCAAAAATATTTGTGCAATTTTTACTTTAAAGTGTGATCCCAATTGTGCCGAATTGTTTCGCCTCCTCCTTTGGCCTTTGCTTACCTGCTACTAACCACCGTCTCGTCATGCTTTCGTTTTTTATTGCTGCACAGATTCGTCATTTTAATAGAATCATCGTCGTCTACAATGACATCCTCGTCGCTGTCGTTGGCATTGCATGTTTCCATTGAAACATCCTTGCCGTTACAATTGCCGCTGCCGCCACCACCGCCACTGGAGCGCTCATCAACAGCGCCACACGAGTCCGCGTTGTAGAAGTGATGGGTTGTCGATGACAGTTCGCTGACATTTTTCACTGTAATTGGAGGAATACAGGGGAAGAAGTAAAAATTAGTAAAGCAGAAGCTGAGTTTTGAAAATGGATTTACACACAAAATATTTCAATTCTACACAAAAACACACTCTTACAGATGTATGTATACATATAATTAGCCAGTTAAGTACATACTACTTAAGTGTGTATATTCATTTAAGATTTTATAAAAACATTTAAACAAATCATTAAAACCACTCATCACACTCACCACTGATATGTCCTTGTTGTTGCGCTGTGTTGTGTTGAGCTGTGTTGTGTTGCGCGTGATTCCAATTTTGTGTCATGCCGCCAGCGCCACCACCTCCGCCGCTAGTACTGGTTGCATTCAAATCATCTTCACTATTCCCAGCATCTTTATTCATAACACAAGCCGTTCGATATAAGATGCCATCTAATTTTCCGGGTTGACTATTACTGCTGTGCATATTGCTGCCCAGAGTCTGATTGCCAATGCTGTTCTGGTGCTGATGGTGCGCGTGACTCAAGCTATTCACACTGAGTTGGGAGTGTGACGTCAGCTCGGAGCCAGAGTCGGGCACATCGTCATTGCAACTTTCAACATCGACCGTTTCGATTTCTTCTTGCATTTTGGTGTCCTCCTGGTTGGGTTTTTTAAGGAAACAAACAAAGATTCAAAATTATAAAAATATGGAACTGGAAACTAATGGGTTATAATTTTATTTCAAGGCATAATTATTAAGACAAAAGAAACGCTCATACTCATAGGAGAAGCATGGACCCGTTCGTATGTTATTTGAGATATTACGAAGTAAAAAATGTAACTAACACCATGTGGACTAATTTTTAGAAGATAACTATACGCAAAATGTTTGAAGATACTTTCGGGTTGGGTGTTGGAAATTTTGGGACATCTACATATATACCGGCGAGTTACGTTATTGTCGTTGAAAGTTATGTCAGCTTTGGGTTCCGTTACTTGAACCCATAATTGATTAGTCGACAAAGATAGTTCATAGATGGAGGACGCGAAAGATATTCAATTGCTCTTTGCTTGGGATGTCCACGGTTGTTTATATAAAGAGCTGTGATAAAGATGCGAGAATCTTTTTGAATGATCAACAATCGGGTAAGCTAGAGCCTACCAGACTAAACAACATAGGTGAAGCCAGAGTTAAGCTACTACTGGCGCTATGGGTGGAGTGATATTCGGACCAGCGGAGGCTGTAAAAGTTCCGATATATATTAACCTGTACTCCTTTTATCGAAAATTCAGGGCTACCAACAGAGTCAGATAGCGATCTTTAGGATACTAGAAAGAAAGACTATTCTGGAGAAGTGTCATTCTGAATATACCCCTATGTAAAACTGGAACCAATTATAACAAATGTCTAAAGCCATTATTAATTATTTGACGACAAAGCAACTCAATTCGAAGCTCTCTGGACCACGCAGGCGGAAACGTTTGCAAATGAGGAGGCGGTAAGGAACATAAAAAACCATGCATGCTTGAGATCGCCGGTGAATATTTGCTTAGGTAGTCAGTCAGGCGAAAATTCACTAGCCCATAGGTCTGTCGCAGCTGCATGACCCGGGCTGAAAAGAGACAGTTGAACTTTTTCTCTGCAAGTGCTCAACCTTTTCGGGAATGAGGCTAAAGACAGTTGGTCAACCATACCTTCAGAATATTTTAGAGTGCAGCCATACCTCTGTATGATATACTGAAATTCATTAATACGGAGTTCTTTCTTCATGGAAATAAATGGTGGTGTGGTACCAGGATCAGTTCGTCCGACTTTCATATCGATGGCTTTGCATTCGGAAATTTGTAGAAATACTGCAGACTTAAGACGATGTTTGCTAGGTTTTGGAACAGCCCGGCCTCTAGAATCACACGCTGCTAGACTTAGACTAGATTCCTGCCAGAGTTCCAACTCACTGAAGAGAAAAAAAACGAAGAAATTCCTCTGTATATGTCCAACTTTGTGTAGAACTAGAATACAGTTTTTGGGTGAATTTTACATTCTTGCAGCTTGTCAGTAATGTGAAGATGAGATGAGAAATTATTTTGATCTTTTCTGACATTTTTTAGGGGTAAGTTCTTTGCTCCGACCTATTAGAACAGTGGAGTTTTCATTTTATAGATCGCGGATCTGAGCAACTGCCCACTGTCTTTACATAGACACCAATATGCCTATCTTCCAGGAAGATCTACCATCCACGCTCTTCAGAGTGTAACAAGGAAAATTTAGAAAAATCAGTAGAACTATTACTTCAGGGTGAAAAGATACACTTCTCCAAAGAGCGTTAATATCTAGGAGCTATACATGATGACAAGCTCTCATGGAATCCGCAACTAGCTAATACTATTCAAAAGACAAGGGCCTCTGTCTGAACCTGTAGGAAACTTATGAGACGGAACTGGGGCATAAGACCTAAACTGGCAAGGTGGATGCATGATGCCATCTCCAAACCGGTTAACATTTATATGAGAAAAATATTTTTTGTTTGTGGAATACACCCCTTCGGGTCTCCTTATTTTCGATATTCTTCAGTTCTGGGGGTGACTGGAAAAACAAATTATGGACTAACCTAATATATGTATTACATTAGGGCGGGTCAATTTGCATGTAATTCCAAGAAAATTTGCTAAAGAAACCATGGGTCTAAAATCAGTTTGCAGTTTGCCAAATTGTGAAAATTTTTAAGAAAAGTGAATAACATGGATGTTCTCCTATACATCTATTTTTAGTAGGATTTCTTATCTTTTTACAAGTAATTGTATGAACTCACCTCAGGTTGGATCTTTCCAGCTTCGATCGCATATTTTCGCTTACAAATCGGGCAGGAATTGCAGAACAAGTTTTCCATGAAGTACAAATCATTGCCATATTTTCGTTTTCGACCCTTTATTCTTAAACGATTCTGTCTATTATTGCGTATCCTTTGGAAAGTCTGTAAATGAAATTCATAGCAATCAACGCACTGATACCAACTTTAATTTACGAATTGGCAAAGCAAAATAAGTATAGTATTACGAAGACATATAAAAACTTTGACTAACTTACCTCCCACCGATTATGACTGGTGCGTATGGCATTCTCTTGCGCCGGACAGGGCGGCGCAAACATGTAAGATGCCTGTAAATTCGTACGTTCCATGCCCGAGCTTAGCTTGTAGAGTCGGTCTAGTTCGGTCAAAAAGTGTGAATTCCATTCTTCTGCCGAAATTTTTATACCACAGATAGGGCAAATATCTGGCACATGACCTGGCGGCAAACTCAGCACACCCCCAAGCCCGCTACTGTTGCTGCCACTCGAACTGCCACCGCTGCCAATGCCCACACCGACTCCACCAGCTGTGGTCAAGCCACTGAGACCACTCGCCACACCACGTAAACCTGCACAGCTTACCGGTATGCCGAGGCCACCCATGCCACCCAAACCCGCTGCGGCCAACAGGCCACCATTCGGATGATGGTGATGATGATGTGTGTGATGATGGTGATGACCGAGATGACTTGCTGACGCAGGCGAGGATGTTGTTGACGCCACTGAGGCGGCTATAGAAGCAGCGGCGGCCGCCATGGAGGTGGCTGTTGCAGCTGCTGATGACGCTTTGATCAAACCATGACCACCACCTCCACCACCACCACCACCGCCACCGCTACTACTACTACTGCTGCTGCCGCCACCATTGTTGCTGTGGACATCTGTGGTGAAGAACGAATGAAACGTAATAAAAAAAATTACAATCAGTTGAAATATTTTTTGGGTGCGTTGTTTTTTGTTGTGGTCTGTTTCAATTGCAAAAAAAAAAAAATTAGAAGAGCATTTGGCTAGAGTTTTTTGGCTTTGGTTTTGCCCGTTTCTGTATTATGACGGCTGAGGCATGTCAAACGACAACAGGGACAGTAATGTGTGGGCATTTAATTAAATACATGTTAAATTGATTTAATTGGCCATTCGACACGTTTGAATGAGTTCAGTTAAGTGGAAAATAATTGAGGTACAAAGTTATGAAAACATATTTGTGGAAAAAAATTAATTAGTGCATTTAATATTGGCTGGCATTTATGTAAATTTTTTCACAACCTCGTATTAATAATCTTTGGCAAAGACTTCCGTTAAGTTACCAATAAAATTTGTGAAATTTTTAATTAATTGATTTTTGTGCTTAGTTAGCAAGGTGTTAGCTTAATCTGGCTCGCATGCAGCCAATCATAGACCCATTCTAATGAGCTGAAGTAGATGTAATTTAGGATGTCTTCTACTTAAATGTGGTAAGTGATATCCCGCTTGGCGGTAGTTACCGAGAACACATTAGCCGCTCTTCCGACACCAACAGATTTCATCTTGTCGATCGGGAATTTCGCAAGGCGGTCACAGCTGCAGCTCTTCGCTTCAATCCACCCCATCCCATCCCGGGTATGCCCCGCATTAGGGATATCGATTTGGAAATTCGAGAGTTGTCCCAGTAGTGTTGGACTTGTCGAAGGCATTTGACCACGTCTGCCAGTCCACGTAACTAGAAGACTCTCACGGGGACTCAATGGATGAACTGAGAGTTATCTAATTAGGCGGCAATAGTCATTGACATGTTTTGTAGTTTTTAGGACAAAATCGTTTTAGAGAAGAACGATTTTCCTTTTAAGTTTATAGGAAAAAATTATATTTTGGAAAAATAATGTGTACCAAAACTATAAAAGCTTGTATGAAATAAAATTGTGGGCAACAAATCCTTTCTGTGGGAAAAATCAAGTGTGGGGAAAAATACTCTTAAACAAGTAAGAAAGTCTAAGTTCGGGCGGAACCGAACATTAAATACCCGGCGCAAGTATTAAATATATGTTTTTTCACCCTTCCGAAACCTTCCGCTAGATGGTAAGCCGAGGTGTATCAATTTTGAGTAAATTAGCGTCCTTCAATTTCGAAATATTGAAGTTTCAAGCATTTCTTAAATTTACCGTTATATGAGAATCGGCCGTTATTTTAGTCCGATTTCAATAATTTTCAACGTTTTGCTTACACGTGGCAAGTACAATAACCATACCGAGTTTGGTACAAATTGGTAGAACGGTTACCGATATACTTATATGTGATGATAAGTGGGCGGCGCCACGCCCATTTTCCAAAATTTTACCATAATCGTATTTCTTGGTAAAGATTTGTTGCAAGCATCAATTTTGAATAAATTAGCTTCAATATTTAATGATTTATCGAAGATTTTGTATTTCTCTAAATTACCGCTATATGGGATGTGGGCGTGGTTATTGTCCGATTGTCAGCGGTTACCAAGATATACACATGTAACCATAAGTGGGCGTGGCTACGCCCATTTTCCCAAAAAATTTATAATATTCTTATTTTTCGTCTAAAACTTATTATAAATGTCAATTTTGAGTGAATAATCTCCAGTAGTTACTAAAATATCGCAGTTTTCGTATTTCTGAAAATTACCGTTATATGGGAAGTAGGCGTGGTTATTGAGCGATTTTAAAAATTTTCGGCCATTTGGTATGTTATGCGAAGGCCAACAACTGTGCCAAGTTTGGAAGAAATTGGTGCAGCGGTTACCAAGATATACACATGTAACCATAAGTGGGCGTGGCTACGCCCATTTTCCAAAAATTTATAATATTCTTATTTTTCGTCTAAAAATTATTGTAAATATCAATTTTGAGTGAATTATCTTCAGTAGTTACTAAAATATCGCAGTTTTCGTATTTCTGGAAATTACCGTTATATGGGAAGTGGGCGTGGTTAAAGTCCGATTTCGCCCATTTTCAATACCAACCTACCTTGGATTAAGGGAAACCTACATACCAAATTTCGTTGAGATATCTCAATTTTTGCTCGAGTTATCGTGTACACGGACGGACGGACAGACGGACAGACGGACGGACAGACAGACATGGCTTAATCGATTTCTTTTTTCATCCTGATCATTTATGTATACATTTGTCTATATCTATCTCGATTCGTTTTGGCTGTTACAAACAACCGTTATGTGAACAAAATTAATATACCCTTGTGCACAAGTGCGCTCGGGTATAAAAAGATACCTGAAAAAAGAGATTGAAAAAAAAGTTTTGGAAAACATTGTCGGTGTTCACACCTGTCTGGTTATCAGCTTATGTTATTATATTTTTTATTCATATTATAACAATAAAAATTATATTTTGGAAAGATAATGTCTACCAAAATTATAAAAGCTTGTATGAAAAAAATGTGTGCAAAAATTATTTCTTTGAGAAAAATCGTTTGGGAAAAACACATAAAAAAATTTCAATAAATAAACCTAGAAAAAAATTAGAAAAAAAGTTTCGGAAAACATTGTGGATGTTCACACCTGCCTAGCTAGTTTTGAACTTATCCGATTAAGTGGTTATATTACAACGCATTTTTTATTCAGTTTACAATATTAAAATATATTATAGAATAATCATAACTAGGTAACCTGATAATGAGGCACTTGTGAACACCTTCATTACATTAGGAAAAAATCAGCGAATTAAGGAAAATTTTTTAGACTAAAAAAATTAGGGGAAAAAATACTTTTCAACTGAAATTAATGAAAATTTTTGAGAGAAAATTAGTTTTTACATACAGACATATATTTTATTTTTTTTTATTCGGCCCTTGATGAATAACATTTTACAATTCAAATTATGCTTTTTGTTTTTATTTATAGGCTTATGGTCATGAGAGGGTTAAATTAACTCAAACGCTCTGCCAGATCCGGTGTGTGTGAAAGTTTCGTTTACAAATAAACTCTAGCTTGCAAATAATTTAATAAATTACGATATTTACATTCCTTCAGAAGATCTAATAAGTCGACCTCGTTGCTGGGAAAATATGCATACAAAGATTTAAATCCTTTTAAATGAACACATAATTTATAAAACCAAATGCTCCCTGCAATGGCGCGCAAAATCAATGCCACACTCAAATCATTATCGCACACACATTCCGAGAGGCTATGTGGGGGTGCAATCAGCCAGTCAAAGTCAAGGCAATTAATTACACCAATTCGAACACGTTAATACGTGTTGAAAATTTCTAAAATCACACAAACGCGCAATCGATTCTATTAGACCGCCAACAATAACACTTTCAACCAACAACCGAACGGGAAAATTTATGACCTCAATATTCTTTGTATGTATTTATTCAATGCGTTTTATTTTCAAATATCTACATACATATGTATGTAAGTATGTATGTACTTATGTAAGTATGTACCTTAAAACGATTGCCCTTTAACAAATAAAGAAATTTATCTAAAGTGGAATAATACGTAAACTGTAGTCAAATGTTTGTCCCTCATCGTTTCGACTTCAGCATCTAACCACCCATTACAATTTACACAAGCCTATACGCTCTATGCAAAACACTGGCGTGTCCCACTCCGATGTCTCCTTTGGTGGGTGTGAGTTTTATAGATTTTCAAAAATGTAATGAAAACAATTTTGGAATTCCAACGGCACACTTTTGTTGGCATTCTAATTCCTACTATGTTTCTTGTTGTTTTTTTTTGTTTTTTTGAGTTGTAGTGGGTGAATGACTTTATATGGGGGAGCAAATTTTTAAAGCCAAATTTACCGCATATTTGCCTCTTCAATAAGCAGACGATTAATTTTTATTGCTTGTACTTAGAGTTAAATGACATTTAGCGAGCAGTGTAATAAGGGTGTATTCTTCTTCTTTTTTTGAAAGAGATTTTGTAGCTACTATAATGCTTGGTATGTTTGCTGTTTGTACCAAATTTCAACAGAATAAATGATTGATAGCTTATAGTAAAAATTCTAAAATATGAATAAAGTGGAATCCGCTTAGGTAACCCACAGATTTGTGCACTGTGACTTGTTTTTATTACATACATATACATATGTATCTAAAGAAAATTCTTCTCTTAAGTACCTTCCCGTTTAGTTATCTAACTCGCTTAACTGCTGCAATTTTTATAGTTTATACAGTTATGCCAAAAATTTTGTGATCGATGAAGCAGAGCTTTTTAGATTCACTTCTAAATATATTTTAAAAATTCTAACTAATGCCAGATTTCCATAGAATTTTTAAACGGCCATTTTTTTGTCATTCCAAAGCCTAGTGCAAATTTGGGATAATACATTCAAAAATAAATAAGTTAGTTAGTTTAAGTAACTTTTAAAACCGGGTAAGTACCTAAAAAAAACTTACAATTTGGAAAGGGGCATTTGAGTGGGTCTTATGGTACAAGTGTTTCTGAAGTTATCAGTAACAAGATACTTTTAAATATTAAATATCTGTTTATTACCATATTCGCACTTCACGAAGTTACCGTAAAGCATTTCATTGTGTTTTTTCACAGCCACAACCAGTACTCATTCCTATGGTTCCTATAATCGAGCGCTTTAAGTTGACCAAGCGGTTGTGTTACCCCACCCAAACCTTGTGCGGAGTTTGACCGCAGTCCACCGGCTCGACTTCGCTAAATCAACTATTCCTCTGAGCAGAATGAAGTGTATGCCGCATGTAAAATCGTTCGACAGAAACTCGTTAACGATAACAGGGATCACCAAGCCCATTATGCTATATACCTACGGTGACCATAAATATGGATTCAAAATGAAGGACAATTTTTCAAAAATATGCCTACATACATATATTTACGTAGTATAAAAATATCAAGAGTATTTATGATTCTAAATTCTTAATACATTTTAAACTTTAAAAATGAATCACGTTTTCTTCATCGATATTAATCTTTTTTACATGAATATTTATCAAATTATAGTAAAACATATTATAATTACAATAGCTTACACGAAAAGAGAAAATCTTTAAAAGATTATTTTATAGGCAATAACGAAAACAATACCCTTCTTTTTTTGTTTTTTTTTGGTACTTTCCGCAGTTATTTGTCAAAAATCGACGACATGAATCGACGTAAACGACGAGTTACAAAGTGCCCTTTACAAAAATATGTATATAATTTGTGCAGGTTGCGCTCCATAGCATCTACATTTCTAATCCGATTTTCATTATCTTTGGCTCAAAGTTTACTGTAATGATATATCTTCTTTATCGAATTTTTAAAATAATGAAAAAAATTATCAAATGAAACTGCGTATTTGATTGAAAATCTCACTTTTTTCGACTTTGAAGACAAAATACAAATGGTCGCCTGTAGCACTAATAATTTTCATTGAAATCGCCACAAGTTATATATTTTGGGAAGAGGCACATCAATACCCTTCGAGCTGTAAGTCGCTTACGTTGATTTGGAGATTTTTGAAGAAAAGCTACGAAAAGTACCAAAAAACTCTTTTTTGAAAAAATCCATCCATTGTCCGATAATTTTGAAATAACGAATAAAATGCGGGACAAATGCAGGACACTTGGAAAAAATCAGAACATTTTCAAAAAACTACGCAGGACCGACCTTCGAAAAACAGTACGGTCCTGCAAAAAA